TCATTGAGATGTTAGTGGATTTAAAGGCCTGAATATACTTCATTCTGCCAGCCAGCTATTGGAATAGCTTAGGTGGATAGGCCATTGGCTTTGTACTGATAGGATTCCAGGCTTGATGCTTCTTCCTACATGCACTTTAAGAATAAATGTAAGCAGCATTTTAACACCATTTATTAAAAAGGTTTGGTCATCTTCCGTAACATTACTGTCAACCTGTCCCAGGAAGCGCAGGGCGAGCATGCAGCCACCATGTTAGCACACTTCTCCTGAAACCCTCTGTAATAAGCGGAGCACTCAAAGATATTGGAGTATAATGACTATATTAAAAATAATTAGCAGGGTGTAGCAATGGAAGGTTTACCTGTTAAACTTGTGAGGATTCCCTGGGCTCCCTCTTAAGCTCCATTATTGCAGCCCCGGGTCTTCCCATAATCGCAGAGTTGGGTGCCAGATCCAGCCAATGTTTTCAGTGACCTTAATGCGATTGGAAGTAATTGAGGCCAACGATAAGAACTTTATCCCACACTATTGGTTGGGAGACACAGGGGCTGTGGCTTCAAATTTCTGTCCAATTGCAGCATGGCTCTCTGTTTGGGCCTGTTATATATCCCAGCCATAATGTAGGACAGTGTGGATTCAGTCACTTTTTCTGGTCCTTTACATCTTGTGTAAAGCCTTGGGGTTTGTTCTCAGAGTGATGATTTAAAAAATATTACTAATGCTGAATGCTAATCCCTGAGGGCAAATACATGTTAATGACCAGCATGTGTATAAGCAGGATTTTCCCTGAGATTGGGGAGCTTGAGATCTCCACCACTCTGCCAAGATTTTCAGCTAATGAGCAGCGTGGAGCTGTTAGCATTGAGGTAACGAGGGCCTGTCAGAGAGGCGCCTTCTACTGCTGGTACATAGTTTTAAATTTAGCTTCAGTGGCATTTGTTAGGATTAGGACTTGGGGGGGGGGGAGATTGTAGATTTTTTGGGGGGGGGGAGTGGATAAGAGCATATTAATATGTTATGCTAACCATTCAATGGTTCTGTTGGCTGAGGAGGGATGCTATTCAGGCCTTTGAGACGTACTGTGTTCCATTTTGGGGTAGGGGAACTGGTCAGTAGGGTGGGAGTCTTTCATGAGAAGTGAGAATGGCAACTTCACTTGTTCAGTGGCTTGGTGACCTGATTAGGGTCCCGTGCTCTTCTGGGAAGTGAGTAAAGCAGCTCTCCCATCTACAGGCCTCTGCCGAGTCTTCCAGTATCGCGTGCCGTTGGACCTGCTCCCAAACCAGAACTCTCAACCATGTCATCTTTAATAGCCACTGTTAGACTTGGGCATCCCATCAGCTAATTGTAAAGTCACTTTGTATATAACCTTGTGTTTTTGTGCTCTGTTTCCTGGCTAAAGACCATTTTAAGTCAAGAACACATTGTGAATCATGGTGGCAGCAGTCATGGTTATACCATTGGAAAAGCTCACTATTGTACTGATTCCGGAGTTGTCGTACATGCTCACAAGCCCTGATGAAAGACACCACGATTAGCATCATCGCTGCTGGGGCTGGTCGGCCCTGTCCACATCCGTTTGACCGAACTGCATTTCCATGAGAAAAGCCCGTGTGGTCTTTGAGCTTTGCCACAATTGTAGTCCTTCTGCCTGCTTCTTAAGTGCTGACTGCCTACGTGATGCAAATATGCTCTCCTCTCTGCAAATCTGTGTTCTGCACATCTGTGGGACCGAGTTTGCCACATGTTGGCACGAGAGAGGTTTGTATGGTCTATAAGGGCTCGTGCTTGCATCTCTGACATGAAGAAACTGTCTGCATTTGAACGACACAATGGAAATGGTAGGATTTCACCTTTTCCCATGTTTCATTCTCTTCCTGAAAGCCAGTTGCGCTCTAAGCTCTGGCTTGCCAACATTGTGGAACTGAGGATGCAGGGATCCCATAGACTTAATCTGATCTTCGGCTGCCAGTACACTTTGGCTGGCCTGCTTCTGGATCCTGCTTCTCTTGAAGCCCTGGGTCCTCTTGAGGTTCCACGAGTAGCCCTTGGAAGGTGCTGCAGTGTAAGGTTACCATGACAGCCTGGTGACGGCTGTTTTTCCCCCTTTGTCGTGCGAATATGGATGTTTTGGAACCAAGTGCTTGATAAATTCCACTTCCTGAGCAGGCCCAGTAGTATTGCCTTGGTGGGGGGAGGGTGCTCAATGGCAAAAGCTGGCATTTCACATTAAGATGGCAGAAATGTAACCGTCTGATCAAGCCAAACAGCAGCTGTGTGTTGCTCTGGGGGAAGAAGGTGTAGAGCCACCTGCTGCCAGTGTTGTGCTCCCAGGGCACCTAGAACATACAGCAGCCGATGCATCCAGCCCCCATGAGAACTCTGCATTCGCCAGACCGCTCCCTCTTTTAGGTGCTCCCTCAAACTCCCTCCCCATTTTTCGGTCTGTGCAAGAAAGCAGCAGATTCTTAGGTATTTCAGGAGCAGTGTATCTGAATCTCCTGATCGAGGAGGGAAGGTTCCCCCTCACTGGCAGTGTAATGGCTCCACTCCCAGACAGCTGCATATTTTCCTTAAACAAGAAAATACTCATTAATGGCATGACGCTGCAGCAGCTTTAGAAGCTCACTGTGGAGTTCTGGGGAGTCCCCTCCGTCCGGAGTTCTGGGGAGTCCCCTCCGTCCGGCCGAGCGGTGGTTGGGCTCTCTAGAGGCTTTGACGTCCCTTTGATCCCAACGCCCCCTGAATTGGGTCGGGGAGGCCGCTAATTGCACCCTCACAATCACTGCCCCGCTCACAGTACCCCAATAGCTTTTATGTGGCTGGTGATGTGCTACGTAGCTTGTGGACTACGTGTGATTGCGGCGTATGGTATTTCCACTTAATGCTGCCAGTCGAGGGCATGAATCTGCACGTGGCTCTAATGTGAAGGTCGTCAGAGGCTTTCCTGGCTGACGATGGATGATGACGATGACACAAACACGGTATCCCGAATCCCTCACCCGCCTTACGAGCCCCAGGCAGCCTCGCATTCCGTACGGACATGCCAAACGCTCCACAGGATCTGGGAAAGGCGCCTGCTGACATCGGCACACTTCATTTATCACATGCACATTACTAATGCTCCTTAGCGACATCTTAGGTACCTCATCTGAGATGACGGCGTGATCAGTGACCCGCGATTCACCATCTACGAGCCCAAGTGACAGTGATGGATGGGGTGGGGGTGGTGGGGGGGGGGTTCTCAGGCAAGGCTAAACCTCAGATGCACAACATGGACCTTTACAGGCCCCCCTCCCATGGACCTCTATGTCGGGACCTCCTTTACCGTCATGCATTAATATCTCCCCCCACGCATTAATGTCAGTCTGCATGAGAGCTGCCAGATCAAAGTGACGGTCATTTGTCAGGACCGTGGCTGGAAATGGTTGCCGATCGCCACAGCTCTCTGGCCAGCACCTTTTAACGTAGTCCGCTAGTCGCATGATGTGGGGGTTGGCTCATGTTTACTTGTCTCACGAGCGGCGTTCATCCCGTTCTGCGGGGGAATCCTTTGGTTCCCATGGCTACCAGAGGGTACAAGGCTGCTCTCCCTTCATTGGCTGGGAGGCAGCTGCCTGCAAAGTACTTCTCCTAGCTCCACCCCCAAGGCCACCCTCCCCCCGAAACCACATCACCATTTGGCTGAGCTCTAGGGAGACACTGGTCACACAGCCCTAGTGTTCTAGGTACCCTCCATTGCTAAGGGAAAGGGGGTCGATATTGTTCTATTCCTAGTTAAACTTCCATTCCTCTGGGCCCTGGGGAAGGATGTTACTATTGAGCAGCTGTGAAAGGACTCTCGGTAAAAAAATGCCTAGTCTGAATGAAACAAGGCGGGTACACTCTCGTGTGGCTCCCCAGAATTTACGACACTCCACTGGCATGCAAAACACTTTCATGACAGCTGTTTGCATTTCCGAGCAGACCCACATCCTTCATGTTGACGGGCTGTGCCGTCATGCCGGCAGTCACATGACCCCATCATCTGCCCACTCTGAACAGCTGCGCTTTGATCTTTCACTCTTTTTCTTTTTTTTTCCCCTCACTGTGGATGTCGAGAGGCCTGCTCGCCCAGCTGCATGCTGTCAGCACAAGGGGGCCGTGTTCACGGCTGCTGATTGAAACACGCGGCCTTGGCCCTAATCTGCAGGCGCCAATAACGAGCTGAGAGCGGCACCGTTTTACGGGCTTAACAAATCTGTGTCCCCCGAGGCCCATAGCCGTAACGGCTTGCGTAACGTTAAGCCCTGTTTTGCTAACGACCTTGTGCGGTGTTAGATCAGATTAGCTCCCGCAGGGAGTAATAGAGCAGCCCCCTCTGCCTCAGATGTCCATCCGTTTAAAACAAGCTACGTTCAGCCTCATACAGGCCAGCGCACCCCTCACCTGTTACTCTGATGCACTCAAACCAGACCAGGTGCTGAGTGGGCTGGTGTGGCTCGGGGCCGTTTTCGCACGGCATCGTTTAGGGAGCCACCAGAGGAGACTCAGCGGTCCAGAAGCTTACCAGAGATGGTAAATCAGGATGCCGCTTGGGTGTGACTCTCTTCTGTAAACGGGCCGAAGGACGAAACCGAAGGGGATCCTGTTGGTTTGAATTGCCTTTCCTTAGAGGCTGCTTAACACGTTTTTGCTGGGTCTTTGTTTACTGGCTTCCATGAACAGTGGGCGAGCAGCCGTAGGCCGCTTCCCATCTCCGGTTGGAATGACAGATGGGCGTGGCCAAAGCTAGCCCAGTCTCCCATTGGCAAACTCTGATTTACACTCTATTCTCTTACATCGTGAAATTTCTCTGCATTTGACAGGGATGGAGGGTAATGCTTTGGCTCCCATCAACTGAGCATCTCAAGCCATATATGATTTGATCAGATGGCTTGGGCTTGAAACCTTTTTCAGTACCTCAATAATGAATATAAATCAAAGGCTTAACTTGGTGTGTTTTTTTTTTTCTCTTTCAGTACTGGATCAACGAGTTCACCTCCTCTCTGGGAATTGGGGTCTTTCACTCAGGGATAGAGATCTACGGGAGAGGTAGGATCGCCCACGTCCGCTGCCACCTTTCCCAGCAGCTCCATTAGACAGTCATTACTCTGCATTAGCAGGGCAGAAGGCCTGCTCTCCGCCGCCAGAGCAAGCTTGGAATGCGGGAGGACTTTAGCTGAGATGGAGATGAACCTCCACCCAGTTAAACGCTTAATGGTCAGCCCCTGAGGCACAGCCTCCATACGCCTCTCCTGAATTACACGTTCTGGTAGATGTAGGGAGCTGTGCATTAATGTCTGTCTTGTGGGTTTGAGGGCACCTCCATGCGTCTGTCCCTCAGCCCAAGATGGAGTTTAGCACTTTCCCACGAAACCCTGAGCTCTCCTGACTGGGGACCCACAGTCCCAGGAACAGATGGAATGATTAAGGCAGATCATTGTTAAGCTTCGGTGTGTGTGTGTGTGTGTGTGTGTGTGTGTGTGTGTGTGTGTGTGTGTGTGTGTGTGTGTGTGTGTGTGTGTCTGTGTGTGTCTGTGTGTGTCTGTGTGTGTTACTGCATTGTGGAGACCACCTTTTCACTCCCCTCAAGGGGAAATTCAGTTTTGTTATGGTTTTGTTTGGTTACTCAAGGTTATGGTTAGGGCTGGATAGAGGTTACGTTATGTGCTTCTGGAGGTCCGCTGCCATTTGCCCTCGCTTTCACCCAGGGAAGCCCTGGAAGAAGCTTTTGGGTTGCCGGCCCCTGACCTGGCGATGTGTAGGTTTGGCCGCACACAGCTGCATGACTGGTTCCTCCCCAGTACCGGTTGGGCACCAGCACCCAGCGCCTGGGCCCCCTGCTACGGAATGTGGGACGTCATCGGTCCAGGTCACCGCTGTCGCTTGTCCTTGCAGAGTTCGCCTATGGAGGACACCCCTACCCCTTCTCAGGGATATTTGAGATCACGCCTGGAGATGCCACCGAACTGGGGGAGACCTTCAAATTCAAGTGAGTGTCGCAGGGTGTGCAGTGAAGTTTGCAGAACCTAGAATGGCCTGTTTTTGTAACAGACAAACACTAGCTCGCACCTACGCCAGCCCCTGTACACACCTCCATAGTGCGGTCAGCTCAGCTCTCATTGACCGAGCACTGAAACCCTTAAAGTAGTGCTTTATTAGCTTTAACACCATCTCAGACATGCTTATTGATTCTTCTGTGACCTTTTGGACTTCGGAGAACATTAATAGCACTGAAATGGCGACTGAAATGACCTGCACATTTCCTGTGTGTAGGAGTGTTGTAACTCCATCCTGGATACTGCGATATACTACTGAACATTTCTTATGTTTTGTTCACCCTGAGCCAGTGTGCCGCGTGGCCCCTTTCGGCCAGTCCCTCAGCTTTGTGGCCCTGCCACTACCCACTTAACCGCTCGTCTTAGTGTTAAGGGTGGGGTGAGCATGACGGCCTCCATCTGAGTATCTGGGGATCAAGCAGCAGGGTTCAGCCACCACCGGCTTCTCCACCTCTGCCGTTAAACTGCTGCCTTATCTGGGTTTTCCTCTCCCTCCTTTTCTGGATGGAGGTTAACCACATGCTGCAGGTGTACGACCCTCACTTACACTGCCTCTAACACTGCCCCCCATTCTCCACGGCGCTCCCCGTCAGTAAAATAAACAGCCGCATGAGACGTAGGAGCCAGGGAGAATATGAGCCTCATGGTAGCATAGCTGGTTGAATGGACTCCGCTCATTCACCTCAGGCTGCTTTGTGTCTCTGAGCTGCTAATTTAGGAAACGCCTCATTTCTTTTAAAAATGCACCCATAGCAACAGTTGTTGGTCTGAGCCAGTAAGAGTGCCTATTAATTCTGGGGCCTTCTCTCATACCGGAAGCATCTCACCAAAGCCATGGCGGCGAGGCTTCAGAGGCAGAAACACCCAAGACAGCCCTTCTGGCTCGGCCTGGAAGGTGTAGCTCGTTTGTTTGTCATGCTACTAAATGCAAGTGAAAAATAGATGGGTTTTAATAGGCTGAAGCATTCCTAATTTAGAGAGAGTAATTGAATCGCTGAATAAATTATCACCCGCAGCTCACGGATGATTAACGCGCAGCGTCCTTCCAGGAAGAACGTAACTAAGCGCGGGATCTCCATTTAGGCGACGGACAAGGCTGAGATGGATTAAAGAGCAGGGTCTCGCGGAAAGCGCCGTCAGACGCCTCGCCGTCTCCATAGCGCCGCGTGCCGAGCACAGCCCCACCCAATCGAGCGGGCTCTCTCACCTCTGTGGTTCACAAGGACCGCAGACATGAGGGAGAGTGATTCAGTGCTCGCATGGGTGACTGGCGTCCAGGATTCGTCTGGCTCACGGAAGTCACGTGTTAAATTTCCATGCATAAGGTGCCGTTGTGGGTGGTTTAGTAAATAGCTAAATCATTCCATAAATAAAATGTATTGTCTAAGAACAGATGAACAAACGTGGCTTGGTGCATTATGGGAAACGAGTAAACATTGCCATGGGATTCTAACTAAAGGTATGTCTGTTTTGTGGTGACCCGGTCGGCCTGCAGGGAGGCCATTGTCCTGGGCAGCACGGACTTCACGGAGGAGGACGTAGAGCGCATCGTGGAGGAGCTGGGCAAGGAGTACAAGGGAAATGCCTACCACCTCATGCACAAGAACTGCAACCACTTTTCCTCGGCCCTGTCAGAGGTAAGGCTGTCCTCTTTGGGGGGGCCGCCCACTTTGTGATGGACGAGGTGACATTCCAGTGGCTGCTCCGAAGCCTTTAGCCACTGATCTCCTCACATTATCTGTACCGAGAGGACTTGGCTTCATATTCATGGGTGGAGCTGTGAAGCATGGGGTGAGGTTGGGGGGGCATGAATCATAAAAACAGCTGAAGGTTATGGTTTTGCTTCCAAAAATATGCGAAGAGCAGGTCTGAGATCAGGCACTCTTATTCACAAATGACCAGAGGGTGGAGGTTAAATTCGACTGAGACCCCGTGCGTTTTGAGAGGATGCCAAGCCCCCCCATTGCTGGTCGGCACATGCTGTTGCCCATCGTCACTGAGGCCATTGTGCTTCCCACGGTGTCCTTAATGCCTTCTCTATCCTCCATGCTTCACTATCCATTCTCCCTTTGTTCTCTGCTGCCATTCTCTATTCCGGTTTGCTTTTCACGAGGTGCACAGCTGACCAGTTCACAGCTATGGGCGGTGTCTTCTCAGACCAAGTACATGCCATCAAAGCCGCACTTTCTATCCCCAGTCAAGCTTCTGGTTTTCCACTAACACAAAAATCTCACACCCTGCTTTAGGGACTTTCTAATTGAGGTTGAATACTGGAATGTAGACTAAAGCCTGCAACCTCCTGGTCCGGTTACTTAACTATGCAACTTTTATGTAGTGTGACGCCTAATAGGTTTGCCTTTCAGTGATGTTCTAAGGTTTTATGTAGCTTTGAGCTTTGGCATTCGTCTTTCCAGGGCTCCAGTAAAACTTAACCTTGTGACTCACGGGAGAATACCAGACAAATGACTTGAGAAGTGGTCAGAGCAGAGCGTGCTCGGGCACCACAGGGCTTCTGGGTGGGGTGGGACTCAGTCTGGTGCATTGTCGGGAGGTTAATATTTGCCACAGAATGGTTCACCTTGGGTATGGCAGACGTGTAATTATGGTGCGATCAGTGGAGGTATGCCTTCAGCCCGCCGGCCTCTGTGCTCCTCTCACTGAGAAAGCGAAGTCCCTTTGGGCTGCATTGATTTCAGGAGAACACACTCGCGGCCGTCCTTCCAGTGGTTTATCAGAAGGAGCTTCAGGGACGGACTGCATTTCAGATTTCATGCTGCCCATGGATGAGAAACAGGCTGTAACCCTCATTAGTGGCTCACCTCCTCCCTGTGCATCTCTGAGGGTGGACTTGGAAGAGATTAACCCAGGAAGTTTAACATTTGAGAGAGCCTTGTGTTGGCTGGCTCCTTCTCCATGGGCGGAAATCCTACCACCCACAGGTCTCCGTCTGTAGCTGGATCCGAAGCCCTTTTAGACGAGGGAAATCAGATCAGATTAAACTGCAGCTGACCCAAACAGCGTGACTGGCTGACATCGGCCGGACTTACTGAAGGCAGAGATGCATCGTATTCCTGTGTGATGGGGAAGATGTGTAATCAGGGTGTGCATTAAACCCAGGGGGGCTGGGTTGCGTTTCAGTTGAAACCCAGCATCCAAGTTGCTTCAAGGATAAAACAGTCAAGGGTTATACCCAGCAGAAATGCCAGGTCTCCATCGCTGAATTATAAGCACCAAGTTTAGTTTAATCTGTTTAAAGCAATTGGTTGTACAGTATTTTACTGGGCAAGTTCAGGTCAAGCATCTCCCTCAAGGACTCAACAACTGGTCCATGAACCAGCAGCTTCCTGTTACACGCCCATGGTCCCTGGCACCCCTAGCTAGCTGGAATCCATTCAGTGTTTTTATTCCACGTCTGTCTGCCTCTCCTGGGATAGAGAAATACTACATTCATATTTGGGCGGCACAGGCTCCACTTAACCTGGGTTAATCCCATTCAGAGTTAGAGAATCCACACAAAACTTCCACCCTGCAGAATACTGTTATGATGACCGCTAAGTTGATGGAGTTGGGGGGGGTGGGCAGCCAGCTGGCGGAGGTTTCTGTGTCATGTGACCTCGAGCTGTCAGGGAGCAGTGTGTTCTATCCAGGTTCCTAAAAATGATATGAAATCAATGCACACAAAAAGCTCATCTAGCAGTTCATCAGCTGAATTTCAAGAACTGATTGCTGGACAGTTCCAGAAAGTCTGAGCATGTCTGTGCGATCCATCAGGGCCTGGCATACAGGAGAAGTAAACACTGCACTACAGTGTGGTGAGGATCTTCGTGACAGGATCATGTGACCCACGGTGCCCCACTGACCGGCCTGCCTTCCCTCTGCCTGTAGATCCTGTGTGGCCGGGAGATCCCACGCTGGGTGAATCGACTGGCCTACTTCAGCTCATGCGTGCCCTTCCTACAGAGCTGCCTGCCCAAGGAGTGGCTCACGCCCGCCGCCTTGCAGTCCAGCGTCAGCCAGGAGCTCCAGGGCGAGCTGGAGGAGGCAGAAGATGCCACGGCGGCCCTGCCTTCCTGCTCTGCCTCCCCACTGCCCAGGCCTAGTCGGCAGCAGCCCCGTCGATAGGTCCCGCCCCTGCACAGCGACTGGTCTGCCTCGCCTGCCAATTAACCCGGCCCCGGACTGCTGACTGGCCCAGCGTCGGCTGCATTGACGAGCCCTGCCCTCTGTTGCAGCTGAACGTACAGTCAGCTCAGAGACCCAGGCCTCAAGGTTGCGGGCTCAGGGAAACTGTTACTTTTATGTTACTTTTTAGCACTGTAAGCTGGAGCCGATGTTTTTTTTTTCTTTCTTTTTTTTAATTTAAATTAATGTCCATTTGTTGTTTTTATTGTTCTCTGGCCTTTTCGTTTATATACTCAGGATTCTGAAAAGTCTTTTACAATGTTTTGTTTTCTTACTATTTCATTCTGTTTTTATGCTTTCGTTTTGTTTTTCTAACGCAGCAGTAGTCACTCTAGCTTTTTCAGAATGCGCGTGGTGCATTTTAAACTTTTTAAACGAAACAAGTGTGTTTGCGCAAAAACAAGACAGCCAGGGCCAAACACTACCTGGAGTGTTCGTGTGACACACTGCTGACATCCCCACTTTGGTGGCTGTGCCTGAAGATCCGTACTGCTGTCCCCCCTCCCCTCCTCCCCAAAGCTGCAGCACCACCCCCCCTCGCCTGCTTCCAACAGCAGGCTCCAGGTGTTGGGCACGTTTAGGGTTTTAGTCTTCTGTGTAGCAGAAACCTTTGTATCCGGTCTTGAACTGATTAAACAGAACTCTACACCGTGTGGTGGCATTGCAGATTGGTGTGATCCGTGCCCGTCCTCTGCTGTCGTTTTTAACAATTCTAGTGTTTAAGGAGCCAGAATCCCTGTGTGACTGATTTGACACACCATTCGGCTAAAGTAGGTGAAGATGGACCCAGGGGAAAAGGTTTCACACGGACTGATGCTTTGCATGCAGCTGATTGCTGTTAAAGGATATGAAGTAATCTGGCCTTCAAAACAAGGCTATGCAGCTGATTGATCTGATGCAGTGTGCACCGATCAGATCACTTGACAGATGTCTCCTCTGCAGATAATATATTCATACTCCGTTCATATAGGTTATATGCTGTAGAGCCAGGATGTTAAATTCAGTAGCGGAGTTCCTTAGAGATGAGGGTAGTTTCTCTTCTCCAGCAGGGAAATGTGGAGTTCCCCAGTGAAAGTTCTGATCTACACCATGGGTAAGCAGACATGAGGTTTTAGCCAACCAGCACTGGCCGCTCGTGGCACGCGGTCACTTAGCTGTAATCTCATCACCAGAAGATGAAGATCTGTTCATAAAGATGGCAGTGTTACACGCTACACGACTGGTGCTGGAAACACATCATCAGACTAGTAGAAGTTACATAAAAAGGGAGCTTCTTGGGGGATGAAACTTTCTGACGTACTTTTTATCCTTTGTTCCATTACCCCATGTTCCACAACATGGTACGGCCCAGCTGTTTTTAGGGTGTTTGAAACCGTTCTGCCGGAGCTGCTCACGTACCTTGACGGGGTATTGAATTGTTTGGTTGGACAGGCACAGAATGGGTTCTGAGAGGCTTTCTGTGAAAGTGTGCCATCTTGTGGTGGAGGCCTTCTCCTGCAGCTGCTGATTTCTCTGATCCAGGTATGTGGGACAGGGGTCAGGCTTGCTCATTTACAGTGTGAAACCTGTTGCATAGTTCAGACAGCCAACAATCTCATTTTTACTGCTGTAGCAGCAGCTGAGTTGTTGCACTTTGAGTTAGAAAGGTGCTGACATTCCACTTTGGGCTCTGAATCATTAACCGCTTATTTATCCTGTTTAAACCAGTGGCGTTACCTGCAAATATTGCACTGAAATATCTCTATAATCATATAGTAGCACAAGTGATCTATAATCAAACAGCAGTGAGCATTTACCCTAAAATGAACTTATAGAATTCTGCTCATACTATAAAAATGAGTTCATTTATGAATAAATGTTGCATTTATATAGTGCTTTATAGAACCAATGAAGAACCCATTCAACCACCACTGTGTAGCACTCATTTGGATGCTGTGATAGCATTTCATCATCGGCAGCCATAGCACCTGCAGTTCAGACTGGGAGTGGATTCCCACGGTATCCTGCAGTCACTGTGGCTGATTCCTACTCTGGATCCTAGGGCAATTTCCAACGGAACAACTTTTTGCTTTTTCTGTCCATCCATAATGGCTATGGCAGCATTGGAATTACTTACACAAAAATGTTCTGAGGACAGAAGAAAAAAATGATTGGTTCAGAGAGATAACCAATAAGATTGTAGAGGAGGTGGACCCAAGCAACTAGAGGAGTCAGGAGCAACCAATCAGGTGTCATAGTCCTGCATTCCCTAGTTGCTTTGACCCACCTCCTCTACAATCAGGTTGTAATCTTCCTGAATCATTTTTTCTTCTGCCCTCAGAAAAATTTTGTGTAGATGAAACTCCCACAAGCCATGAATCCGCTGCAGCCGGACCCCTGAATGCTGTACCATTACCATGACACTCTGGAAGGATTTTTTGTGAAACTTCAAGTGACTACAAAATAAGATGGATTAGTTCACATTTGGATTTTTGACAAGTTACTAAATGGCAGAATAAGGTGGTGAATTCTGGGTAATCACCGTATTGTACAAAGTACTTGAGTATTTTGTATGAGCTTTTAATTGGCTATACAATAACACAACTCGTTACTTACCCATCTTCTGCCAGCAGCCAAAGCACCTGCAGTTCAGACCGGATAATCCACCTGAAGCTAAGCAGGGTTGGGCCTGGTCAGAACTTGGATGGGAGACCAACAAGGAAAGCTGGGTTGCTGCTGGGAGAGGTGTTGGTGTGACCGACAGGTCAGCCCATCCTGTGGTCTGTGTGTATTGCAGTGATGGGGACACCCTGACAAACATGGCAGCCCATCCTGTGGTCTGTGTGGATCCCAGTGATGTGTGAAAATGGTGGGTCAGAAAAGAATTCACCAGTTAGATATGGGGGATGATACCTAACTGGTGAATTCTCCCCTAACCCACCATTTTCAAACATCACTGCGATACACACAGACCACAGGATGGGTCTTGGTCACACTGTCCCCATCACTGCACTGGGATACACACAGACCACAGGGATATCTGACCAACAGGAGATATATATAATATACAAATACAACAACAACTACCTTTATGTACAAACAGAAAAATGTTTTATGATACCCATTAAACAGTGATAGAAAAGTATTTTTCTCACCCTCAGTAGTATCTTATGTTCAATTTAATGCGTTTCAAAGAATTTTCTGCAATTTTTATTACTGCCAAAATTTAGATGCCCCGCCCCCCCAACTGGGAAAGCATGAATGCACAATTTTGGCTTTTGTAAAAATTGTGATGCTAAGTTGAGGTGTCATTTCTCAGCATGACTCCTGGGTCCCATTCCCACTGTACTAAAGATTTCAAGGTGTGTCAGATGCATTTTAATAGTATACTTCTTAAAAATAAATGAGTCACTGTGACCGAGTCACGTTTTTGAGCTGCCTGGTGATTTTACTATGGCTACAAAACTAAATGGGCCATTTATTCTCACTCAGAAATATTGTTTTAAAACTTCAACCAGGTATTCGTTTTGAATATTCCTGAAAAGTCATTAAGACTGTCAGCTCAGCTTTTAAAAGCTCTGCTCCTAGATTTCTATGCAGTACAGAAACATAGGCCATATGCATACAACCGCCACCTAGCGCCCAAAAACAAATATAAATTTAAATCGTGTCAGAAAAAGAATACACAAATATATGGAAAACAAAGTTGTAGGCAATTTCATAAATACGCACTAAAGGACCACAGATTAGTCTGCAGTTAATTTCAGTAATCACAAAGACAATAAACATTAGAAACACTTTCCCACGTATGCATTTGACATACTTGTAATTATTCCCCGGCCGGGTAGAGGGCGGTCGAACTACATCGTGACAGCGAAGAGGCCCCTCTTGTCAAACTCTCTTGCCTATTTGCCATGGAGACGAAAGACGCGTCCTTGTCGCGATGTCAACTTCGATTAGCTGAGCTGTCCAGAGCACCTGCGGACACGATGTGCGGGCTGTGTGTCTTACTGACCTACTCCATTTCAAAGATTATGCAATAGTGCATTTGTAACGTTTTGAAGTCAATTTCCGAACGTTTGAAATAATGAAATTTAAACATGCGTTTAACGCTTTAATGCAGCTTGCGAGATACGCTGTCTAAAGAGATTATGGTTTCATGGAGGAAGGAAGCTCTTCGTGGACTGGTCAGGACATACCTGCTGCTTTCCAAGTTCAACATCGATCACTGGAATCCTGTGCAAGGCTTGGCATCAGACCCGTTGAACTTCTGTATAAATCGCTGTCCGAATTCGTTGAAGAGCAGCGGGACGCCCCGATGGCGTCAGTCACCGTGCTTTACGACGCATACGAAAAGGAACGGCGACGGCGTGTGCGTCTCTACCGGGATGAAAGTAAGAAAGTCAAAGAGGGAGACGGCAGTAAATCATCCTGTAAAAATCCGTTTCTCGAGACTGTCCCCGAACAGATCACGGAAAGACGGAGTTCAGAGTCCAAGATCGAGAAAGCAGATGTCGGTGGTACTTCAGTAGTGGATAAAAGCCAATTAATGAGAGAACAGGACCCCAGTAACTTAGGGACTTCAGGTGGGACATTAGCTGATCTCAAAAACCAGTGTCTCAGTACAGAGTCTTGGGATGCTAGTTCTCGTGATAAACTTAGAAGTAGCTTCAGCCTGGGTGAGCAAATGGATTCTATGATGGTGAGCAGGAAGCTGGACAGACTGACAGCTGACATCAGGAAGAAGACAAGCATCACTGTGCCTCAGAAAGATCTCAAAATAGCGGCGCTGATGCTACTCAAGCACAAGGAGGAGCAGCTGCGGCTGGCGAAGATCCAGAAGGAGGGGCAGCTGCGGGAGCGGGCGCAAAGGCAGGAGGCCCTGCAAAGGGCACGAGTCGAGCAGCGCCAATGCAAAGCACGGGAGCGCAATGCCAGGCTCTGGCAGGTGGCCCTAGACGCCCGACGGATGCAGCGAGAGAAGGAGGACCACCAGCGAACCAGCCAGCGGGAGCAGGAGGAGACACTGAACAAGGAGCGATGGAGGCAGCTGGCTGAGGAGCAGCAGGCACAGAAGGGGCAGCGGTTTGAAGAGAACCGACGGGAGGAGCAGAATCGCAAGCGCTACCAGGAGAGGTTGCTGGAGGAGCAGAGGCAGCAGGAGCAGCATGGAAGGGAGCAGGAGAGTCAGCTAGCATTGGACAGGGAGCTGAGGGCCAGTAGGAGTAAGCAGGCACGTGAGAGCAGGCAGCGAAGGCGGATACAGCTGGAGAACCAGCAGCAGCGACTCCGGCACCTTTTCCTCAAGAGGGAGGTGGAACAGGAGACACAGGTGCAAGAGCTTCAAAGGAGGAGTGGCCTGGAGAAGAAGCTGAGGCGCTTTGAGGAAAACCATGCACAGCGCCTGCAGGCACGAGAGCAGGAGCTGCGGAGGCGGGCTGTCCGGGGAGAGGAGTTCATCCGAAAGGCCCGCCTCCGAGCTGGCTGGCGGGAGGCTCAGCAGGAGCAGCGCAGGCAGCTTTTGGCCCAGCTGGGGAAATGGCGCATGGAGCGTGCAGCTGAGCTGGTACGGGTGCAGCGCAGTGAGCAGACCCAGAAGACGCAGCGAGCCAACGCGGAGAGGGAGCGGGTACATCGAGTGCTCCGAGAGAGGTTGCTCCAGGAGGAGGAGGGGCTGCAGCGCCAGCGGGAGGGAAACCTCATCAGCAAGGAGCGGCGTTGGCAGCGGCTGCGGCGGGAGCGGGAAGCGGCATTGGAGGTGGCCCGCCGCATCGCCCGCACCTCCTCCAACATGCGAGAGCGAATCAAGGAGGAGGCTCACAGCCGCACATTTGACCAGATGGCCCTGGAGGCGCAGCTCACAGTCAGTTTGAGCCGATGTAAGCTGTGAGAGTATTATATACTACTATAGTATTATTATAGTATTACTTTATAGCACAATTTTATACTTCATATATTTCATATGGTAGGTAAAAAATTCTTCTGCACAGATTTGTATTTTTGTATATATCACATTTATTTAAACTATTTTCTGAGCTAAATGACAGCAAGATATTTTTCATTAGGTATTTTTGTTTTGTAGAGCAGGGCCATGCACAAACTATAGAATACAGATTGTCGACCGGGGGAGGGGCTTTAACTAAATTTGATGGCTACTAAAAAGGGGGTCCTTCAAAAAGGGGGCATTTTGTTTTGGGCAAAAGGAGTTGGTGCTCCGGCCCCCACAGCCCCCCCCCCTGCACATCTGCTGTACAGAAGGTGCTTTTCACATCATTAAGGGGAAAAGGGGCGTCTCCCCTCCACTGAACTTCAGTACTGCACTGGGATATGAGTGAGGTGTGTGTGCCCCCTGGTGGTCAGAGTAGTTATGAGAGCAGTTCTCAACTACAGTACTTGTTTCATTAGATTTATTTTAAAATAAAGTGTTCAGTCTGGTTTGCACATGTGCAGGTGAATGTGTTATATCAGATATTCTGGCTCTCAAACATGTGGTAAATGAGAATTGCTGTTTATCTGAAGATGATAGAGATGCCACTCAGACATTTTCATTTATAAAATCAGGTTGAAGGAACTGCTGTTCGTTCCATCCATCCATCCATCTTCTACCACTTTTCCGGGTCGAGTCTAAGCAGGGAGACCCAGACTTCCCTCTCCCCGGCCACTTCGTCCAGCTCCTCCGGGAGAATCCCGAGGCGTTCCCAAGCCAGCCGAGAGACATAGTCCTTCTAGCGCAGGGTTCTTCAACTCTGGACCTCGATTCCAAATCCAGGCCATGTTTTCAGTTCTCCCAAGTAGTTGTTTAATAATGACTGATTCTGATTGGTCAGAGGCTTCACACCTGACTGACAGGTAAAGGAAGGCTGGAAAACCAGCAGTGCTCGGACCTCGAGGACCGTGAGTTGAATAACCCTGCTCTAGCGTGTCCTGGGTCTTCCCCAGGGCGTCCTTGTAATTTTCCAGGAGGATACATTCAAGGGTCAGTCAGAAATCATAAGACCTCAAACCACTGAGAAGAAATGCAATGAACTGAATATGTATTCTATGACAATTAAAAAAATCTGAACAAAAACATCCTCCCTCTTAAAATCTTAAGCTAACTGATCATTTTGGCAGTTTTCAGCACTCTCATGACGCGATGCGCGAATACCAGGGTTCAACTTAAATGGGGGAATAAAAACGATGTGCTGGTGATACTGGAAAAAGAATCTACTTCAAGAAAGCATCAGAATCACACCGTGACAGGAATTGAAACAAAAAGCCGGCAATAAAACTGTAAACCACCATAACTCCAGTTAAGGTGCTGGCATGTGGAGCCGCGCTCTAAGCTGGAATGTCAGGGATCTAATAAAATGCAGTGTTTTCATGGACTGAATAGAGTCCCAAGTGAATCAATTGGGTTTAAAAAGATAACCAATGAAATGCTATGAACATAATAATAGTAATAAAAGGTTAGCATAGAGGTCTGAAATTTGAGGCTATAACCATCCCAGTTTCGATGGTTATACAATCAAAAGTACAATATTTCCTTTCACCCAAGCTGAAACAGCCAAGAGACCAGACAATTGTGGGCTATTATTATGGGCTAGGGAGTAAACCCATCTTTAGTTTCCAGGGCTGGGCAAGTTTACAATTTGTGGTTTAAGACTTTCCCTGTTATACTGTAACAGGGAAAGTCCTTGTTAGAATTTCAGCAGCATGTCCCAAATACCTGGCAGGATGTTTATCTGACATTGAAGACGCTAAAAGCCGTTTAGCAATTATCCCATGTACCTTAAAGAGTCCCTGGGAAGGACAAGGACAAGAAAACAAGCCAATAAAGCTCCGCTGGGCTCAAGGTCTGGTTTCCCCCGGACGGACAAAGGCCTCACCAGAGCAGGCATACGAGAGCTAACCCCCCCACCCCACACAGCCAACTTATTTCACAATTAAATGTTTTGCTTAGGACCCGTAAGAAGTGTAGGGCTGGTCCTGGGCTTCACACACCACCCATGAGAAATGGGACTCTGGATTCAGTAAGTCCTTTAAAATCTCAGATAAATCTCAGTATGGGCTGGAGCATTAAACTGCGATCACTGCCTCGTCTTCCTGGTCCAAGTCACATAACTCAATTCTTAAATAAATACTTCTCTTTAGAAATAGGAGTTCGGCTGGTGTCTTGCTCTAACTGACCCCAAGGTGAAGACAGATACAAAGAAATGGTTAAAAAGAAAAACTGCCAATCACGTCAGTGACCTCAGCTGTCGTGGAGTCCCAGGGTCAGAAGCACAGGAAGTCCCGCCCCAGTGAGGAGAGTGAGGCTCTCCAGGACTCCCAGGCCTCCCTGCTGGTAGGTGACGGCGTGATGGTGGTGCTGCCCCCTGCTGCTGATCTCCGGTAAAACATGCACGGTCGCCACATACAGGAAGGTCCCGGCAGAGAAGAGCATTCCGATGCCGGTGGCAATAAGGCGGTGCTGCAGTGAGCCTCCCGTCTGCAGGCAGGAAAGAGCTTTCAGCAAGGAGGACCCTCTGCTTCCCGAGCCGTTTCCTTAACACTCGTCTTGGCTTTATGCCACTTGAGGTAGTTCACCTCAGCAACTCTACCCTTGACAAATTATAACAGAACAAATTTAGCTCATTAGTTATTTAGCAACTAACTTTCCAGGACTGGGGCTGAGCAGCCTTTAGATGGACAATATCTACCAGGTATCTCCCTGAAGCTACATCCTGATGCTAATCCTGCCCTTTAATGGCTGCTGCATACTATAATGAGAGATGTTCTGTGATTTCCTAGGAAGAAGTTGATGGTATGGTTAATTAAGTGAAAAGTGTGAAGGGATAGGAGAAGCCTGGCAGGGTCCAGAGGGCTACGTCCACACAGCTGTGCATACCTCACGGTCGGGCGAAGGAGCAAACACCCACAGATCGACAGACACACACAAACTTGAAGCGCAAGCTTCCCATAATCCCCCTCCTCACCATACTCAGGATGAAGTACGTGCTGATGGCCAGCAGAGGCGCCGCCACCGAGAACACCAGCAGGTGCATCTGGATCCGCCTCTTCTCCAGGCCGGCGTGTATGAGGAAGGAGACCAGGCCAAAGGCGGCGGGAGCCTGAGAACATAAGGCAGCAGGGACAGCCCTCAGACACACTGAGCAGCAACACTGAGCAGCAACACTGAGCAGCAACACTGAGCAGCAACACCACTGGGAGCTCAATAATGACACGCGCCAATCTCTGCAGTGCTCACTGTGCTGTTAGGAAGGCTAATCCAACCCTTAAAGAGGTATTAAGCTTTAAATGTAACATGTCTGTATTTAGCTAGCTCAGATAAACTGCTCAGTTTATAAACGGTTAGAAGCAGCTGCTGTTTGCTGAGGTGTTAAGATCATTGTGTGTCCTGTCAACAACTCCAGTCTACGGTTAAAGAAACAACAGCTGCTGCTGTACAGCCTCAACTAACAAGGGGACTGTTCTGGAATTTTTTTTCTTTTTTTAAAAAATCTGGGGGGAAAAATCTAGTGTAATTCCACCTCCAGTTCGCCAGGGGGCGCTCTGACCTTGTGCAGGATAACAGCGAAGAAGATGATGACTTGAACAGAGAGCTGAGACGAGGCCACAGCTGCACCCAGAGCGACGCCGTCAGCTGCAACGGCACAGAGGGGTCAGCAGGACACTTTTGGTAGCACATGGCAATTTGCCCCTTTGCCTTTTTCTGTTCTAACGGTTACATGCACCGGCTACTTAGGTTACTAAGATACTAATCCTTAAACACACAAAAAATTAATAAAATCCACAAATGGGACACCCCTGGGGTCCTCTAAGGCTTTAACAGTAGGCTGATTGTCTGGATTGGCTCCATGGCGCAGTCACAGCGTACAGGATGTTTGCTCATAATTATGTTGTAGTTAAAGTATGACTTCTGGAGTGTGTCATGTGACCACCCACACGGCTGCATGTTTAAGGTCAAGAATCTGGTATATTAATGTGGGAGGGGCAAAAAGCAACCAATAAATACACAGCCTGCTCAAAGAGGTTGATGGGAAATGGAGGACATGACTGAAGAAGCTGAACCCTTGTCCATGGTCTCTCATGCCCAGGTTAGCAGTTATCGTGCCAGAAAACCAAGACAATGGCAGCACACTGGCCGCAAGCCGCATTTGACCGGCTCTCCTGGCCAGGGCGTTACGCAAAAGCCTTAATGACTGCAAGCTCAGGTGACTCAAGAGGGTGTTGTACGCACCATCTGCTTCCTTAATTAACAGCCGTATTACAACCCATCACCCACTGAGCGTGGCTGAGATAAACGCAGGGGGCAAAGTAGGTTAAGAACAAAGAACTGGGTCAGAGCAGAAATCAAGAGGAAGGAAAATAATGCCAAACACCGAATGGTGAATGGTGGGGAAAAAATCCTGCATCACAAATATAATGATACACCAGTCAGTCATAACATTAAAACCACCTGCCTAATACGGTGTAGGTCCCCCCTCATGCTCTGACCAGAATGGTCTGACCCGTCGAGGCCTGGACTCCACAAGACCTCTGTAGGTGTCCTGTGGTTTCTGGCACCAAGACGTTAACAGCAGATCCTTTATGTTCTGTAAGTTTTGAGGTGGGGCCCCTATAGATCAGACTTGTTTGTCTAACACATCCAGCAGATGCTCGATTGGATTGGTTTAGGTAGGTGGTACATGTCAAAGTATCATCCACATGAATGCCAGGACCCAAGGTTTCCCAGCAGAACATCACCCAGAGCATCACACTGCCTACGTCCTATAGTGCAACCCGGTGCCGTCTCCTCCCCAGGTAAATGACCCACATGCACCCATCCATCTGGATAATATAACAGAAAACACGACTCGTCATACCAGGCCACCTTCTTCCATTGCTCCATGGTCCAGTTCTGACACCGATATGCCCATTATAGGCACATTTGGGGGTGGACAGGGGTCAGCATATCCTTCTGCTCACCCATTTTTCCTGCTTCCAACACATCAACTTCAAGAACTGACCATTCACTTGCCTAATATAATGGCACCCTTGATAGGTGCCATTGTAACAAGATCATTAATGTTATTGACTTCACTGGTCTGTGGTTTTAACGTTATAGCTAGTTGGTGTCTGTGTGCGTCCGACGCAGATACTGACGTAGCCAAAGAGCAAGACACATCCGGCTAGTACCTGCGGCATGGATGACCAGTCCCAGTGTGGCGGTGATGCTGGTGCTGCTGGTCATGCCAGTCCGGGGGTCTGCAGGTCAAGTGAGCGATGCGGTCAGCAACGAAGCCCCATCGGCTGGCAAATGGCCGACACGGGAGGGCTACCCAAGGCTATCGAACGGTCAGCGGGCCGAGTTCCCAGGAGGAAATACGCTTAATATTTCACAATACATACCATCAGAATAATATTATTGGTATTCAATAATAAAAATGACAAAAGTTGTCGCACAACTTTTGTCGTTTATTTACTGAAATGCCCATGCGGCCTTTGCTATGTTGACAAAACCAAAAGAGAACTAAGAATAAGAATTAATGAACATAAAAGTAATATAAGAAATCATGATGTCAGGCATTTCAATGCATCTGGACATGAAGTGTGTACTTTGAAATTTCAAGGGATTGAGTTGGTTAAACATCTTAGGCGTGGTGGAGACAGGGAGCGTCATCTTCTCCAACGAGAGGCTTTCTGGATCTACCAACTTCAAACCGTACATCCTAATGGCCTTAATGAAGAGCTAGTTTTAAATTGCTTTTTCTGAATCATTGTCAATCATGGTCTGTTTTGTCTCTTTGAGGGTTTTGGGGTATGTATGGGATTGTTTTATTATGATATTGGTATCTATTTGTTATATATTAGGTGTGTATATATAGTTTGTATTTTTTCTTTGGAGATCTGGTGCGTAATTGTGTGTCTGTGTGTCAACGTGTGCATTCTTGGGGGTTGGCAATTATGTCACACTATCACCTGTTTCTTGTTGCCCTGATAAAACCAGTGTGGTTTGGTGTTTTTTCCACATTGATAACGGCTTGATGTGCGTCTGTGTGACATGGTGCAATAAACTTTTTTCTTAATAGCATGAGAATTATCTTGTGAGTGCGGTACCTTTTTATGAATTTTGATGTCGTTAACTTGCACCATGAGTAATTTTTGAGGTATTTTGGAGTTTGAGCGCGCCTATCTTTGATACATGTGTTTCATTTTCATGCAGGAACACCATTGTTCAGAGGTCGTGTCTGATATTTATCAAATTCACATCAACCGATACCTGCAAACATGGCAGCAAGGCCAGGGTGGAGGATGCGGTTGAAGCTCACCGTGTGTGGAGCAGTAGGTGCCTATCTGGTCCACCACAAACATCAGGCAGAACCCCACCACCAAGGACACTCCGATGAAAACGGGAGGGGGCCCGCTCCTCTTGGCATTTGGCTCCCCAGACAGCATGGGGCCGCTGGAGCTGTCATTGGCTGCTGTCTTGATACAGAGAGGCGCACTTCCTGTTGGAGGGAATTGATGTGTAAGTAACCTTTAAGCCGCTTTTCAGTGCAGCTGCTTTCGGACGTCAAAGTTGGCATATGGGTCGTTGTTAGTTGGCTAGTACCCAGCATACCTACATCAAAGTCATTTATTAGTACAAGCATTTTTTTCCGTGATAGACGGTAAAATATGAACGACGTCTATCACTATGGGTCGAAGACTAACATTGAACCCGATCTGTAAAGTTGAGTTACCACACGGTGGCATTACTGAGATTGACCCGGTTATCTAAGATCTGAGCAGTATTTACAACACATCTAACAGCCCTCATTGGATCCGATCCGGCCAGGCAGAAAAGGAATCACGCAGAACAGCATTTTTGCAGTCCTCGAACAAGCGATAGTGAAAGAAAAATATGGGGGAGGGGGTCAATAAAATATGTAGGGCAAGCAGTCCCCCCCGGCTGCGGCTCCGCTCACCGCGCCAGGCGTCCTGCAGAAGCTCCACTCCCTCCGGGATGATGACGGCCAGCGCCGTCCCGCACAGCAGCCCCGCTCCCAGCAAACTCACCAGCTGCAGCTTTTGCTGAAACGGAACAGGGGGGGGGGGACAGCCGGTATCTAATGTCCTGCATGGAAAATGCTTACAGTGACAACAAAACTAAATGAAAAGCTCAAAAATGACTTGGAGATTAACCACAGTGGCGTTTGTTGTGCAGTTCAGAAGATCTATACATTTATATTAATCTGCCGGTATGAATTTGCAGGAGACAGCTGTATATTAACCAGATACGCAGTCTGACAGACTGATAAGGCATCTAAACAAAAATACCCGCACATAAAGCCAGTCGGCAAAATGACCCTTGATCTTATGATGAAACCGAAACTTTTCACATTATGTTCCCATTTATCTCCTCGCGTTTGCCGGGCGCTACTAAAGACGACAGATCAGTATGAAATTACGATCCCTTAAGAGAAAATGGGTTTGAAAAGGCACAATAAGTTCCCTCACAAAACCAGATCATTTCCCCCGGGTGTCCCAGAAACTGTGTGTAGCCGGAGAAAACAACAGGATTGATCAAAGAGACGCATTGTGCATAGTCTTACCTCCGAGAGCTTTATCATGAGCGGGATCAAACCCAGAAGAAAACACCCGATAAACATCGCCGCAGAAATCAGTATGATAGCAGCCAATCCATCCATGGCTGCAGCTCGGGTATCCGCCGCCTTTAGGAACAGCCTCCCTCTGGCTGAAGTACCATCGCATACAGATAATACACACACAGCGGATCGCACCTAAAGCCCACCCTGCCTCGTTTGGACTACGGACTCCTATTTGATCAGTTTTCCCCCAAAAAACAAAAAAACTAGCGGTTAAGCTGGGAGCTACAACAAACGCGTCACAGTGGCCACGTACTAAGAAAGTACAACACGCTGTCATCCGCCTGAACTTGTGACCGCGGTCTCCTCCCATCAAGGTCTGGGTTTTTTTCATAAGACGGCCCTGTTGTAACGTTTTATTAAATGATTAATTTCATTTTTTTTAACGTGCTGCATTACTGTACGTGACCACTCACTTTGATTACAGCAATGGATGGGAAATTATTATAAGCAAACAAGTAATTTACAAATAATCACAAATCTCCGTATCTTATTAAGCTATACGGGAAATGGAAAATACTCCATCGGATAGTCTGATATCCACCCCTCAAGCTCCCGCTTTACTCATACATAAGAGACGGTCAAATATCTAAACGATATATGGATCTAACTGATATATATGGAGCCTACACAGCTACATAAGTCTAAACGGTTACATAATTCATCGGCGAGCTTGAGTGTTTTGTCAAAGCAGTAGACAGAGTTATTTCATTTTGAATATTTCAACCATTTGGTAAGCCGGTGTATCCACTGCTGATGGCCCGGCTAAGCAATGTCGGCACATCACGGACCGATATGTAAATTAACTTACTACATTGAAGGGGATTTTCGGCTAAAGAAGAACGAGGTAAGTATTTATCTTTTGTGTACAATCGATAGGATTTACAGAGTTTAGGCAAAGTGAAACTTATTTCTCCTAAAGGAATTGCAAAGGGGGGGGGGTACTTTTTATTCAGAAGTTTAGACGAGTCGCGCATTTATTGCATAAATCGGTACAAGTCTATAGTGCACGACCTTAGCATAAAAATGTACGATATTTATTATTGTATATTTTGTTTTATCATTGTTCTGTATTGTAAAATTTTAAATAAAAAAAAAGACATTAACACATTAACATAAAAAGACTTCTTAAAAATCCCCAAGTACAAACACTGCACACAATGGTGCAGAGTGACCTCCAGTGGACATTTACTGCCAGGACAGCAGCGTTACGCATGGAGCTGCAGGTGGACAAAACCTCAGAGCAAAAGGGGAAGGGCGTGGAAAAAACTGAAAATCGTGTTTATGACTGAACGCACAAATGATTACGCTTAAAACATTACGTATTAATTTCAAGTTTTACAAAAACACGTCCTGAGATGATTTCAAAAAGGAAATATTGCATGATCGCGTTGAGTACCGTTATACCTTAATGTAACACAAATAGGTAAGAATCTGAAAGACAACTCAAAATTACAAAACCGTCCACCGATAGTACCGCAAAAATAATTTTAAAACTGGAGGTATAGCTCTAACTTTTAAAGGAAAATACATTTTAAAAAAATTACGTGCAAAAAAAAAAAAAAAGAGAAAATAGGAAATCTGACATTTCAAAAGAGCCATAATAGAGATCCCTTATATAGATCTTCTTTCAGAAGATATTACATGGTGAAACTAACAACTTATAAAGCTTATCTAATGTGTCAAATGATAAGTTGAAGAAAAATCAGTTCAGGAACACATTGCCTGTATCTTAAAGGTTCAGAGACTAAAGTCCACCAACTGGTTGAGTATAGAGAGTCACAGTCACAGAGTAACTCAACTGGTTGAGTATAGAGAGTCACAGTCACAGAGTACTCAACCGAATGGTTGAAACAAAATCCTGGTCTGAACTTTTACTCTCTGGACCTGAACTACCCAGATTTTGGTGGTAGGTCTGTCTTTTGTGCCAAATCCCTCAAAGTTCACTTAAATGGATCTAGCAACTACAGAGACTTGGAAGAGAAATGTGTATCTTAGTGGTGAGACCAAAATCAGGATGGAGTTTCAAAAAAGTTTTTATAAGCAAAATTTTGCATGGAGAATTTTGATGATCATATACAAGTTACAATGTTGTGAAACGCAGCTAACCATGACTCCCACGAACATGTGGACACAAAAACGGGCAAATAAACACCAGAATAGAGTTGGAGTGTGCTAGAACAACGCATTATGGCAACCAAAAACCAGATCAGCTCAGTAGGATCAAAAACAGCCAGACAAACATTCCTACACGAAGTTCCTCATCACCCGAGACACGCCTTTAACTTTTGTGATATTTCCAGTTCCTCCTTGTGCAATTCAAGTGAAATATTTGTTTGACGACAAACCTAGAGACGAAACAGTTGCGGTGAGAAATTAGATGAGTTTCCTGAATCATGGTATAACTTTATGTTCACACAGTTCTGGGGAGATAATTTATTAGACCAGAGGGGGGAAAAAGTTCAATACCAATTTCATGTGGGACAACATTAAATTCTTGATCCAATGTTTAAAATTATAATATCCCTAAAATGCATTAGTTTGACAAAATGGAACCGTGAGAGTATCTGAGGTAACATTAACACAACCATAAGGGTTTAAGTACATGAGAAACAGTTCTTTTTTATTAACTGCTTTGTAGATGAGAAATCACAGGTCTTATCATGCCAGCTGTTCCACAGCAAATCCCGATCCTCAGTCCGACCCACGTTTACACAGCAGCACCAACATCTTTCAGACAGCCCTCACACAGAGTGGAATCAGACGGCTTCTGAGCACGTTTTTCAGAGACAGGCAGAACTTCAGACAGTGAGAACATCTTTCCTCCACACTGTGCATGTGCAGTTCTCAGACAGTAAAAAAAAAAAACAAAACATACTTTTCCTGTTCTCCCCGGTCACGTTCTTTAATGTCACACAGTGCATTGAGAAGGCTGCAGCAGTGAAACCTTTAAAAAAAATAGCTTAAAATAATAATAGACCCAGGGTTTGTCAGTTTCAAGATGATACACCTTAGCCTGCGTGGGGGGGGGGGGGGGGGGGGGGGTGCTGCCGCCTCCCCTGAGGGCATTAAACGGCAGCACATCCAATGACAAATTTCAGTGTTTCCCAATCTGGTCCTTGGAGCCCCATAGATGGTCCACGTTTTTGCTGTGGACTGTCTGGCAGAGTGGGGGGGGGGGGGCAAAAACACAGCAGCAAGTCTCAGTTCTCAGGGGCTGTGAGGCCAAGGTTACGTTAATATACTGGAAATGAAATAAATAGTGAATAAAATGCATATGGGAGGCTAGTGTCATTAATTTAATTCAAGGTGACTAATGGCAGCGAAGGGGAATGTCCTGAAAGTACAAAGGAGGTTTGCTTCTCAAGATCGGTCCGCCACAGCCGTCCTGGTGGGCTTGGCACACGGCCATTTTGCACGCCATACCAGATGCCCGTCGATAGGGTGCCCGCATCCTCGGCAGTCCATTGGCCGAGTGTCACAGGGGCGGGGGTCGCTCGGAGGGGAGGCCCTTCGTCCTTACTGAGCATGCCAGGCAGCTGGCGCAGACGGACTGCGCAGAGGTGGGCAGAACCTGAAGCAAAGGGGGTCCTGGACACTATAAGATGCGGGGCTTATTTATTCGCAGTTCTGTGTGGCCCCCGCCTCCTTCCTGTCCCATGTGAGTCAATCATTCGCTTGTTTTCTCCTCCCTCACCCCTGGCAGGTGCTACTGGCAAACCTCATTGGCTATGAGGCTGTCCTCTCCAGATGGAAACTCCCCATCATTGAGGCTATCTGCAGCATTTAACATTTCTTCGTCTTGCGAGGACCCCTGGCCATCGTCTTCCTCGCTGCCTGCACCGGCCTCGTCCGAGTTGGGGTCCTGTAGTACCTGGGCGATGTACATCTGGTGGAGACAGAATGAAGAGAAAGCTCTGTTAGGGTCCGTGGGAAGGTATCTTAGAAAGTTTAATGTTCTGCCCACACCACAGCAAAAAAGGATGCTTTAAATAAAACACAAGGATGTCTTGCTAAATCGTTACCAGTTATGTGACAGAAATTGTGACAACGCAAAGGGAAATCACTCAAAATGTTCAGGTCCCACCACATTCAGGAAAGTCTGAAGGCTCACTTGATATTTAGGAATTGGCCTGAACACTAAGAGAACACCAACACTCACTGCAGTCTTGCTTGTAGGTGAGGTTGGCTCCACCTGGCCATTTTCCACCCCGTCCACCTCCTCAGTGACGGCGATCTGAGGGAGAGTACAGCTCTCAAAGATCCACATACATCTGGCTAAAAGCATCGCCCCCCCGCCCCCCCCAGGTCTCGCAGTTAGCAGAGATAATCGACAGAAAGGCAACTGTAAACACATTGGCTTTGGGGCCTGGTGAAAGGTGAAGCCGCACCTTGTAGTTGTGAGCGCTGAGGTACTTGAAGTGTCCGAAGCAGACGTGGGAGAGGCACACGATGATGGTGGAGACCAAGACGATCATGGTGACCACAGTTGTGGGCGCTGCGGGGCCTGTCAAAGACAACGGAAAATACCACTGAGTAAGGCACAGAATCAGAAGGCATTAGAAGGTACTCAAGGTTCACACTTATTTCACTACTGCATAGTGTGCCAGTCTAGTCAAAAGCACAACAAACAGCTATCTTGTTAAGAAGATAGATTGTCCTCAGAAAGTCTTGCGACACTTTCTTACCTCAGTGAAAATACTGCAAATTTATTGGTTTATTGGTTAATTCATTTGTTTATAAATATAAATCACATTAGAAACAACTAGAACTTTTAAGCAAACAATTTATTTAAAGTAATAAAATGAAACCCAAATTATAGTTTTTAAAAGAGCTGTTCTCAGTTAAGTTCATAGAGAAACAGGCTCATTGGGTATTAAATTAGTAACACCATTGCAATAACACAAAACGCCAAACCTTTGTGTTTACCATCCCTTTGGGAGCCTGTGACTACACTTGCAATTAATAACAAAATGGCAAGAACAGAACTGAATAAGTCTGTCAAAAAAAATACACTTAATATAAAGAAAACATCTGTGTGGAAGATATATGCAAATATTGCTTGTCAATGGAGTTTTGTTATGAAACCAATAAATTTGCAACATTGTTACAGAATTATGCAAGCGTGCCAGGCTTTGGGAGCTGTTGACTTCTCTCCAAAATGTTGTAGAAATGTATAACAAGCTGAAATTACCTAAGGATCATCTCAGAGAACAAGCACTTGTCTAATTATAAAAGACCTTGAACGGAAACTCAACAGTTAAAACACGCCCAACTAAAGGTAACCATGGGAAGAAATGCACCAATCGGGTATGATCACCCAGCCCTCAGAAACTCACCTGTGCGCACGGTGGAGAAGAAGAGCAGCCAGAAGAGGCAGAGGATGGGCGCGGCCACCACCTGATTGACCGCGCCGGAATGGATCTTCTTGTCCAGCTTAGAGGGCAGGTAGGCATAGTACATGTTGTATCTGTCCACCAGGTGCTTCAGAAGCATGTACATCAGACCTGGAAGGGAGCCAGGATGGTAATCAGGAGGAGCTCAGCACTTTCTTACCCACAATGCACTTTTATAGATCTTACTCCTTCTAGGGTTCATATACAAGCAAACATTTCACAGTAATATTAATGTGACCTTGGCTTGTACAGCAGTGTTTCACAACCCAGCCCCCAGAGACCCGCAGACAGTCCTACCAGGAGCTGGGAGGCAAAAACATGGACTGTCTTTGGGTCGCTGAGAAACGGGTTGGGAAAACTGCCCTAAAGAATTAACTTTCATTTGTATTTATATTTATTTATGTGGAAATTAGCGGGAGAACATTTCAAACTGGATTTAAGGAAGCACTTCTTTACAAAGCGTGTAGTCAGAGTGTGGAATAGTCTTCCTGATAACGTAGTGCAAGCTGAATCCTTGGGTTCCTTTAAATCAGAGCTAGATAAGATTTTAACAACTCTGAGCTATTAGTTAAGTTCTCCCCAAGCGAGCTCGATGGGCCGAATGGCCTCCTCTCGTTTGTATAGTTCTTATGTTCTTAGAAATAATGATGCTCGTTTAAGGACACAGACAGAATGGTGGATGATGGGCTTGAGGTGTCGAGATTCACCGAAGGGGACGATGATGGGGCAGGTGATGCTGTAGGTCATGACCACAGTGAAGATGCACATCATCCAGGCGTAGGCCGCCCCGAACTGGAACTCGTAAGCTTGGTGCTACGGGACGGAAAGTGGCACATTGGCTGAGGACTCCAGCACAAACGCTACCTGCAACTAGTGTGGGCAATGGTGGCTTAATGGTTAGACAGCACTTGTTATTGAAAGATTACTGGTTTGGATCCCTGACCAGCAAGGCACCACTGAGGTACCCTGAGCAAGGTACCGCCCCCAAGCACTGCTCCCCGGGTGCTGAATTAGCTGCCCCCTGCTATGTCACGAAAGTCACATATAGGTTAAATGCAGAGGAGTGGTGTGTCAACACTGACCACCAAATTCTAAAAAATTCTGAGCATGACTTTTAAGGTTTAGCAACAGATGTGTGACCACCAGCAGCAGCTAAACAGATCCAGCAGTCATTTTTCTGACAAAAAGGTTTGTCAGTAAAAACCTGTTAATGGTTGTTGATAGCTGGGGGGGGGGGGGGGGATAGGGCAATCTAACAAACCTGCAAAGATGGAGAATGTGCCTTTCTTTGGTATGAGACAGAACAAGTTTGCCAAGTAAACCATGGTATTTCTGCTTGGTGCATTTCCTTATTTTGTGGTACCTCTGTAAACAGGTACCCTCCCCTCCCCCTCCATGACTTCCTATATTAACAAAATAATAACATCTGGCTCAGTTGAAGAGACCTTTTATCTTAATCCCTGTACCCAATACAAACACACACTTCTTTGCTGATAAGCCCTTTGTTAAGGTCATGAAGTGTTTATGTTGCGCCTGCAGATCTAAAATATTTCAAATACTTCACATTTTAACGAAGCAAGGCACGGAAGGCTCACCCTCTTGACGTTGCGTCTCTCGGCCGCCGAGCTGGCCAGGCACAGACGGATCATGTACATAAGCAGACCTGGGATGCGTAACAGATCCATGGCGTTCCCGATGAAGGCCGAAGCGATCACGTAGTTCACGAAGAAGGCCCCGTTGTCCGGGAGGAAGACGCACCTGCAGAAGACAGCTTGGTAACCGGCGGCTCCTGTGTGCATCGTGCTGGATACAGCTTAAAAAAATATTTTTGCTACATGTTCTGTGATTCTGGACTCAAACTCTGATCTGAACTGGGCCCAGAAGTGCTCAAGTGTGTAAAATTGGCTTGAAGAATGTCTTAAAGGGGCAGCATCTTCTTTAAAATGCCACAAGTAGGTGTGGAAGTGATTGAAACAGGAAGGTTAAACGGGATTTTACTCACTCCAGTCTGACTTTACCATCCTCCACCAAATTCTTGTCAAACAGCCACCGGAAAAAATAGTCAAGACTGCAAAAAAAAGGACACGCAAAAGGATAAATGAATTTCTACATCTATAATGAGGTTGTAGCATGATTTTTGACTTTAATTAGTTTGAAGGGTAAGTTCTGGGTGACAACAACAGACGAGCACCAGATGTTGCTGTAGCTGTTGTGAGCAGGCCGGCAATACCTGGTAAGACCCAGAGAGGGCAGCAGTAGGACCATGACGATCAGGAATGTGTAGCACTTGTGCATGGTAGTCCTGTTCTCCCCTGACCTGTAATGGAGATGCAGAGATGACACACCACAATCTGAAAGAGCAGAAGTTCTGGAACAAATCTGTCCCAGTGAAGCCTTGGGGCCGATAAAGACCTAGAAGCCAGAGAACACCTCTGGTTTCTATGGAAACCCAATGTTTGTGAGCCTAGCCTACCTGGTCCAGTGGGCCTCAAAGAAGGCAGAGTAGTAGACAATAGTGGGGAGCAGTGCGGAGAACGACCACAGCAGGAGGGTGGGGAAGAACTGCGTAATGATGGGAGTCTGCGGGGGAGAGGGACACACACGGCAGCTCAGTTACGCCTTAGCGCATGGACTTATGGAGCTCAGAGAAGGGACTCACTCAGCAACATTAAGGTATGATCAAAAATCCAAGACATTCAGAAGTTCAGATATGATGATCTGGATGAATAAACCACTTGAGAGCCCATTAACAGGAACAGACTCAACTTACATTAAGGTACTCCACAGGCTTGGTGACGTTGAACTTGTCCATGGTGGAGATGATGATGGCCGGGGTGGTGAGGAAGAAGAGCAGGAGGAATAGGATACAGTTGATGACCAAGCAGCGCAGCCACCAGGAGAAGCCACCCAGGGATAAGTGCTCCCTGGAGACATGGAAAGAGGCGGCGGATCCAGCCAATCAGATGCATTTTCACGACGTCATTGTTTTGGAACGTCAGAATCAGGAAGCAATAAGAGGTCGACCAGGACTCAGGGGCCTGGGGAGTACTGGGGAGGCGGGCGGCTTACCAGTAGACGTTCTGTGGGTCGGGTGCGTAGGTTACGGTCCAGTTGGTGATGTGCAAGCCCTCGCTGAAGGAGGAGGTTTTGGGCTCCCGGCAGATGCAGCCCTGACACTGACAGGCATTAAAGTCTTTCAGAATCCTGGGGGGGGGGGGACATTGGGATCAGGAAGAGTTCACCCCCGGGAATAAACCCACTTTATTTGACACCCTGCAGTTGGTATGAACCCCCTATAGGTGACTGTCTTACAAAACTTTCAAGTCGCCGAGCGGCTGATCAGGGGAAAGTTAACCTGCCCGGTAATAATCTACAACTAAACCTGCCGGCCGGTAATAATCCAAGGGCCGTTCCTTCGGTTTAATCCTCTATTCAACATCTTCAAACATCCGAAGCATTAAACATCCTACGAGTCAGATCATGAAACATCCGTAGGATCCACAAGTAGTTTCCAAGGCAATAATCCGTAAAGCAAAAACACATTCACTGACATTCGCGATTATATCAGCGTTTATATTCGTGATCACATGTGCGGTCTGGAAAAGTAGGCTCAACCATCACCCACTCACTACCGCTTTCACCTAACGAGCGGTATTACAGATTACTGCCGTCACCAATACCACGTGGCCCAGCGTGCGCAATTACGTAAAAGACCCCGCCTACCTTGGTCTCCTACACCCCCCCCCCCCAAAGTAAATACAACTTAATCCACCCCAGTATATTTGTGATGGTTAGGCCGCAAATTTTATTCTTTTTTTTTTTTTTTCTTCTTTTTTTCATTCATGAGTGGAAAATTCAAATACAAATGGTGCATTTTAATTTTCATTTTGGCAGGATTTTTGCACATAGACTTTGAAAAGTAAACAAAGTGGAGAGTGCATTTTCATTTTATTTTTTTGCAGAAAATACCTCCCCATAAACAAGTCAGTTAACATGACAACCAAACTGATTACAGCAATCTCCTGAGATGCGACTAGGCAACGGCTGCAGATGGATCCCAGCCAAAATTCCACAGGAATGCTTGGTTGTGATGAGAGAGAATTACAATGTTTCAGTTACTGCAGTGTTTCCCAATCTGGTCCTCGGGGACTCAGACGGCTGACATTTTTGCTCCCCGAGGTGGGAGGGAGCAAAAACGTGCACTTTCTGCAGGTCCCCAAGGACTAGATTGGGAATCACCGAACACTGCTGCTGAACAGTGTTGCTATACTAAACAGGTCGGTGCCAGAAATGCAGGCATAGGACAGGAGACTTGCCTGGCGGTCATGGATTCGTTCTGGAAGGTGACAAAGGCCATGCCCAGTGGCTTGGTGTTGATCTTCTCCCTCTCATTCTTGCACTCTTCCTTCAGCTTGGCCTCTAGCTGTGTGTAGTAGCTCACAGCTTCCACCTGACAGCAGTCAGAATGGAAAAAAAGGTTGAAATATGGGCAGGACTCATTTCACAGCTAAAATGTCGTGAGAAATGGAAAGAGGATGTGTTATCTATGCAATGGTTTTCCATTTTTAGCATGGGGGGGGAATCATAATGGGACAGCAACCTGCATTTTTTAGTTCAGCTGGATTCTGCAGTACCAAAAATCGAGGGGGTGGGGCCTAATGGCTCTGATGTCACCAATTTTGACTTGCATTTATTGATGAGCACTTTCTTTTCACCAAATCCAAAGCACATGCCGCAGGAAGACAGACAGGCAAAAAACAAACACAGAAACCAACAACCACATAAACTAACAAACACACAAACAAATGAAAAAACAGAGGAAAAAGCCCTAAGGGGTTGTGGCTCATGAGCCCCCATGAAAGCTGGGCCTCACCGGCTGGCAGCTCCCCATCACGCAGCAGCAGAGGTGCCCGCATGGCCTGGGGTTGATCATGGTGAGTTTCTGTGCTCGGTTATTCAGATCCAAGTAGTACTTCTTGCTTCGCTCAGCCTTCTTCCTACAGACCACATCCACTGGTCAGCCCGGTGGCCAGGGCACAGGCTCCGCCCACAGACATGCCACACCCATGCCGGTCAGCCCAGGGCACAGGCTCCGCCCACAGACATGCCACGCCCATGCCGGTCAGCCCAGGGCACAGGCTCCGCCCACAGACATGCCACGCCCATTCCGGTCAGCCCAGGGCACAGGCTCCGCCCACAGACATGCAACTCTCATACCGGTCAGCCCAGGGCACAGGCTCCGCCCACAGACATTCCACACCCATGCCAGTCAGCCCAAGGCACAGGCTCCGCCCACAGACATACCACGCCGGTCAGCCCAGGGCACAGGCTCCGCCCACAGGAACATGCCACGCCTACACCCATCCTCCTGAATTCAGAGTGTTTCACACATCTGTACAATCGTTTTAAGGAATCCCGAGAGATGACTGGGAGATTGAGCAGACCTGAGACTAATTAGCATAATTGTATTGGGTGGTCATAGGAAGCACTGAAACCCGGGTTGGGTGGGAGAGAACAGTGCACCTCTACGACTTAGAGGCCTACATATCCGCCTTCTGTTATTAGGCTGCGATCCAACACATCAACCACGCACTAGAGATACTGAAAACTATTCAAGAAGCATATAAGGCAAGGATATCAAAGAGAGGGTAAAGACCTGACTTTGTCTACTGTGACATTGACAGCAGTGACGTCGGCGAGTGGTACCTGTCCGAGTTCAGGGACATGAGCTTGGCCACATTGTAGCAGATGCGTGCCTCCAGCACTGCGCAGCTGTCATAGGCGTCCCTGTGCCAGAAACACAGCGTTAGCAGACTGCACAGACCCGGCAAGTACGCTTAAGCTACCCTACCACCTTCCTCAGTGATGTCACACATACGGGAAGTCACATGATCAGGCATTTACTAATCACATTAACTGAACTACAACACTGATACAAAGCTGTGCTAATAAAATACAATCCTCTCATTCGTAAAACAGTAGCAAATATTCTTTGCTCCTTATTGCCATTTTGTTCTCCAAGAGCTAAAAAGACAATCAGGGACTAAGTGAATAAGACAATTCAAATTTAATGCAATTAGAAATGAAAGTGAATTGTTTTTATTAATTATTCTGTTTAGGACGCAAGGTCAGTTAAATATATTCCAAATTAAATGGATTCGGACAGCTCAATCAAGTCTAATTAAGGATGCATAGCAAGAGCCGGGGGGAGAGAAACATAGCACCCCTCCGAAAAAAAAAAACATTGGCTTCGCCTCTCAGAGGACTTGCACGATGCCAAGTATTCAGTGGTGCACATCACAAAGTAACAGGGGGCTCACGATGAAAGTGATAATCCTGCATTAATTACTTGTGTTTACTGTAAACAGGCAACACAGCTGGAAATGCGGACTTTCAATGAGCATTTCATATCTTAATTAGCACCAAACTCAATTATAACTTTCTGCAGCACCAAAATCCAGTTACTATAAATATCATGATTATTATAATAATATATATATTTTACTTCCAATGGAACCCAAAACAGAAATGTGTCACAATACAAGCAGGGTTTATTTTCTATGGATATTGGAAATTATCCTCTGATTACCAAAAATGACAATAATATCAAGTGGAATTAACACACAGCACCAGGCTATACACAGCTATGAATTATGGGAAAGCAGATCTACCTTCCGAGTCACATGTCATCATACACCGACCCCATTGCTCAGCACCACAGCGAATGGTTCAAAACCATTTATAGTCAGACAGAAGCATGAAGTGTCTCCATGAGAGAATTGAAATGAACGCGCTCGAGAGAATCATACTGATGTTTCCACAGTTTCATTTGCGTTTTATGCAGGACAAGTTTGCAGTTCGGCAGCCTTAAGATCCGCGCAAAAATCAGTCATTCCAACGTGCCCTTGATTCCAAGCATATTTCCACATAATACGCCTCACATCGTTTCCCGGTATTTTACGGGTGCACAATACACAGTCCTGCATGAAAATGAAATTACATCATAATCTAATGGTCTGTCAACAAGACAACAGCCGTTTGTAGGGCCTTAAGCAGGAACACGCGACTCGCCTTTGCTGAAATTCACTACAGAATATTCACGGAAAATACTGCTCGTCTTGTTTAGGGAAGCCGACTTGGCCTGTCTCGAGTTTAATTTCCTCACAAGTATCATTAAATGGTGTCAGTCATACATGAAAACCATAGACACTGATAAGACATTTGTCATTTTAATACCCATTCATTATCAGCGCCTGCCATCTTCCAGTAGTGCTTACATCACGGCTGTTTAAATCACGGTTCTTAAGGGCAGAGCACTGCTGATTTCCCAGCATTCCTTTACCTGTGAGCCAGGTGTGAGACCACTGGCCAATCAGAATCAGTAATTAAACTAACTAACTATCTGGGAGAACTGAAAACAAGGCCTGGATTTGGAATCGAGGGCCAGATTTGAAGAGTCCTGGCTTGCACGCTTAAATCTAAGGATTCAGATTCAGCAAAATCCATCATATTCAGGTTACTGGTTCATAAAGTGTGTCTCTCACGGGCATCTTAAAATGCAGGAGGTGACTGAAGTAAAAGATCAGAGGAAAACAGAAGAATCCCGACACACAGAACTCAAGGTCTGAACCAACCTCACACTGCAGCAGGACCCCCAAGGAAAAGACACCCGAGGGCAACCATGAGCCCTTCATCTACTCACTCAGACCGGGACCGTGAGACCCACAAGCTCAATGCGGTTTCTCAGGGACTCACTCAAAGTGCCGCTTAAGGTCGGTCTCCTCAGCGTATCTGGAGATGCCGTTAATAAACAAGGTGCGCTTCACCTAGAAAAGAAGACGACGTCCATAAGCCACCGAGCTGAGCTCCACGCTCCTTCAAAGCACAGTGCCCATTCGGTGGAGCTTCGGCTGGAAACTCTCTACGTTCATTTATTACTATAAAAAAGTGCATAATTTTCCTGTGTCAGAGATCAGACTCTACAAAAACTGCCAGTTCTTTAAGCAGGCAGGGGATACAGGACCAGTCCGATTCCTGCTACGGTGCCACATCGAGCAACGACACAGTTACGACCATCATCCATTCTTCAAGGTAAACAAAGTCAGTGATCAGGAGAGTCTCCCAGATGGAACCTTGGACAGTCCATTTTTTTAAATAATAAATGTAATTAGTCTAATTTTGTTTAACTTAACGTACATATTTATGTTAAAAACTGGGTAAAAGCACACATTCACATTTATAGAGCTGAGCATTTAAAATTATTTTAATTATCTGGGCCAATAAAATTAGCTTGGTGGACCAGTAATGGCCCACAGACGGCCCAGACCGCCACGTTTGCTCATGTCTATAAAAGGGCTTCAAACGCGCGACATGATCCTTGCTGGCAAGCGAGTCTCGCTCACCAGGTCGTCCTCTTTGTACTGCATCTTGGAGGTGTGACGCCTCATGCTGTAGACCGTGAGCAGCAGGTACAGGAAGGCGAAGGTTGTGTGCAGCCACAGCAGATTGTCCCTGCACAGGATGAAAGGGAAATGAGCCCGACTCGTGGCGTTCTGGCAAGTTCCACACGAGTCTGCTAAACTTGCGGGTGCCCTTTGAAGTATGACCGCTGCCCTCACCCAGATTTCAGGTTGGCTATGGTCGTCCTCCCAAAGCTGTATGCGTTGTTCTCTGTTTGATAGGGAGGGGAAATAAATGAAAGTGTTTAGATGGTAACAGGCAAATTTCAATCATTATTGCATCCATACTATAATAGGAATTGTAAATAAACCAGAGAAGGTACTTGGTAGTGGCTGAAGATCCATTCAAAAATCAAATATGTACCAATATACCCCCCGTCTCACTTTTACAGTCCAACTGGGCATCCACAACAAAAACAGTGTAAAAACCTATGAGGGTTTAGTTACTGAAGCCAGTGAGAGCCTTTTTATAATAATAATAATTAATTACACAAAAACTAAATAAGTACTGCTTTAAGTACTGTACTGGGCAAGTTCTTGGAAGTCAAGAGTTCCAACAGCCAGACAATCACAAACCACCAACTCACCCAGCAAGTCTCCTGAGAAGTTGACGGGCAGTACAATCCCCACGGACAGCACGCCCACCACGACCAGCAGCCCAATGATATGGCGCTGGAAGGACAGGTAGTGGACCGCGTCCTCACCACATTTGTCTCTGATCTCCTCATCCCTGAGAAGGGGCAGGGCAGGCAGGCAGGGGGCGGGGCGGGGCAGGCAGACAGGGGGCGGGGCAGGCAGACAGGGGGCGGGGCAGGCAGACAGGGGGCGGGGCAGGCAGACAGGGGGCGGGGCAGGCAGACAGGAATTTATCATCATGGGAGATCCTTCATGCCTGAGGCACATTAGTCATAGAGACAAAAAGTTCAAAAAAGATCTAAAGTAACCAGCATGTTCTACTGATAAAAATCATTCCGTTTGAATTTTAAACTGTTCTGTCATAATTCCATCCATACATTAATGCCCAATAGTTTACTGAGCATTGAACTTGGGGCAAAGTAAGTACCCTTAAGCAGATCTTTGACCACTATGGGTTATCAACAACCAAACCAGCAGTGAGAAGCCTGCCTCACCAGGCATTGAAAAGGTTAAGTTAACCATATGCATTTTGGTTTTGAAGTGACATTTGCACTGATCTTTAAGGGCACTTTGGGTGAAACCTTTAATAGAGACTCAGACTGGCCAATATACTCCATCAAGGCAACAGGTTTCAGTCTAGTCTCTGTCCAGCATTCGCACCACGGCCAAGTCTCTGTCCAGCATTCGCACCACGGCCAGGCTACTCACTTTATGCGGAATATGGCCGTCAGCCAGGCACAGAAACCCTATGGCAGGAAAAATAGTGTGTTAAATACTAACAAGACCACAGGCTGGTTAAGAAGCACAACTGAACTTCCTTTTAGGTTTAGGTCACCATGAGCAACCAGATAACATCTGAAAAGAAAATTGTCAAACTGAAGATCACAGACTGACTGAAATTCACCCCCTCCCAGCCCCAGGAGATGAACATGTCAGCTTGCTAAGCTGCGTCATCTGACTTTGTCACAGTACGCCCCCTAAATATAAAGCCCGCCGTCTACTACATTCCTAAATCCTGTGACTTTAAAAATGTCATCCAGTCATTAGCTGCTTGAGCGCACAGCGGCAGCATGTCATGGGGGTGGTCTATGAGGCAGCTGGAGAGACTGGGGTGACTGCCGAGTGAGGGGCCAGCCATTGTCTGGAGACTCCGTGGTGTGTGAAATAACCATAGAACACCTATCTGGCATCTTTTGAATGCTTGTGTAACATCAGGAGGCCTGCCTTTCCCTCTACAATCAAAATATACACCTGCTGTCCCAGAACGGCTACCTAACAGCACAATAAACACAGACCTCAGCAGCAAACAGGCATGGTGATTACCACAGCAACGATATTGCAATTTGCAATGAAATACATGCATCATACAATGGTTTTGGGAACAATGGGAAATAAGGCTTGTCATTCAGCATAGCTGGTCTAATAGAACTACATGTGGGCAGCATTATAATTAATAAACATTGCCGGGCAGGGAAGCAGAGGAGGTAGGAAGGATAAACTTACATTATCTCTCAGGTCGTAGTCGACGGAGCTCGAGACTGATGTCAATCGCTCATAGCGGTCGGGTGTCTCAAGTACGGAGGCCACACTGAGGGTGAAGAGAGGGAGGAGGTCAAGGAGGCCATTTCTGAGGTCATGAAGCTCCCGGCTAGGCACTGTGTGGGATGTGCAGGGTGCCACGTTCTTGCTGCAGAATTGAAGTTTGACTAGACGCCACTTAAATTGTCTGAGAAACTTCGATTCTGGGCAGGAACACAGAGGTCTGAGAGAATGGGAGTAAAAATTGTCTTCAACATATGCCTAATAACCATTAATATACCCACAAACATTTTCCCCCCAATAAAATATTTAAATAGTGATTTTCTACTGCAGCACACTGTAACCCACACAGATCCATTTTGGGCAGCTCAGAAACGGAGCAGATCGATGTACGAATGAGTCGAGGGTCAACATCTCACGGTGCAGTCAGACTTGACGAGCGGGGGGCAGGAGAGGCATCTGCCCCCCGCCGTCCACAGACAGATTTTAGAAGAGTCTGTTAGTCCTTAGACACGCCCCTGAAGGCCCAATCAGACACCACAGACCCATCACCAGAACCAGAGCCATAGCTAGTGTGCAGTTTGGCTGAACACCAATCACAGCGGTCTGGTGGATGTTACTCTGCAACTAACAACTACCTATACAGTCCACTTGACAAGAGTAACAGAAGTGTCCACTTGTGCATCTAACGGCCAATCCAAGAATGCTTTGCGACACTGAATATGAGAAATGTAGTGACTGGATTATATATTAAAAGGGAAGAAATGCCACAATCAATGGACAACGCCACCCAGAGCTCCCTGGGGTTAAAGACAACATCTGTAAGAGGCAGAGAAGCATTGTGGGATAGCGACAGAGCTCCAAACCGTGAGAAGGCCATGGGAGAGCTCAGGGTAGGTGGTCCATGTTCACACAACCAAGGGGGATGGGGTGGTCAGCTAGATGCCCTTTACCTGTCCACAGGGGCATCCTGGCCCTGGGAGTCATTTGGCTGGCCCGCAGAGTCATGAGAGCACATGCTTCCAAGAGAATTAATGAATTAATTAAAAACCGACACCGTGGGGAAAACTCCAGGACAGAAAGTTCACATTCAGTAGGCTTAAAATCCTCGCTCTCTGAGCACTGTGATTGATCAGCGGCAGGAGGAAGCTGAAGAAGGAAGAGCAAGAGAGCACGTGAGCGAGAGAAAAAGGAGAAAGAGAAAGAGAGCGAGAGAGAGAGGCTCCAACAGTCCACACAGCTAGTCTGGAGGAGAAGGAAGTGTTAAAGGCACACAAGGAGCAGCGCCAGGAAAGACAGAAGACGTTTGCACGTAAAGACAAAAAAAAAACAAAAGAAAAAAACATACTATTCCCGTTCTTCCAGGCCATTGTTCCGCAGCCTTCAGAGGAAAACAAAATAAGAGGGGAAATTAGTTTCACATCAGGACTAAAGACACATTTCAGACAAAGAGTGTCAGACCTCCTTGTTAACAAAGCCATACAGGGGACGCCGATCGTTTTGCAGAAAAATGTTGAAACTGATTCAAGGTTAGTCCTGGGGGGCAATGGCTACTGCACATCTGTGAACTCGCTGATCCCTCCCCCCCCCCCCCCCCCCCTAAGTGTGCGCCTTAGAGAACAAAGGTCAGTTTGTTTTTGTTTTCCACACAACTCCAGCAACAGATTAGGGCAACAACTGGCCCCCCGAGCATCAGGCTTTAATAGTCACTGCACATACAAAAATGGTTAGTGATTTACTCATTTATAGGTTTGGAGGGGGGACCGATCATTGTCTTGATTCCTGCACTGGGGCCATTGTTAATTTCAAGGCAGTCAAAGTTCCTGTTTGATTGACAGATCCCTGGAGTTGCTGCGGGACCCAAGCTTTACATTCTGCGTTTCTATTGGTCCTCGGGCTGCCAGCACATCATGTGCCACCTGTCAGTCATCCAATGAGGCGAAAGGGGGCCGAGCATGTTGAAGCTAAAGGATGCTAACAGCGGCGCTATGGCAGGGGACTGTTAGCCAGGGCTTAGTGACAAATCAAAGGAGCATTTAGACCGACTGCGAGTTGGAGCCCCCAAGCCGCTGTCACCACCAGGGGGCAGTAGTCCATTCTATACTGTCAACGTGCCTATAAAAGTGCTCACAGCATTTGGAAGCCTTGGTACGTCAGTAAGAGTGCAGCCATCTCCCCGGATTCCTGGAAGCCTTATAGTGCAGCTACATTTATATCACTGGCCGGAACCATAGAGGCTCTGGGAGGGGGGGCACGTTTGGCAAGGATCTCAGCTAGTGTATGGCAGGAAATGAATGTGGCTCCTCTCCGCCGCACCAGAGGAACTGGGGGGGGGTTATGATGAAATAAATGAGTTCTTATCATATTTAAAACTAACAGGACACTCTGACAAATGGGTTCGATGGGCTGCCCACTCAGGGAGTGCAGGGACAGCTGGGTGCTAGCATGTAGCCGCTTAGCGCGCACCCTCTCTCAGTGCCATCCACTTCCTTATTCCCCAGCCCCGACTGACTGGTCTCGCGCGGCATTACCTGTCGGCGTCGGTGACCAGCGCCAGTCGGCCGTAGTCCCAAGCCACCTTCCTCAGGATGGAGAACACGAATAGCAGGCCCTGGGGGGGGGGGGGTCACCAACCGAAAAGTGTCAGAGGGGGAGCCACTACCCAGCCTGCCGTGAATCTCTGCCGCTCCGTGAAAAGTAAATCTCGTTAGTCAAGGGCAGCGGAGCAGAATCAAGCCTAAAAATCAACGGGTTAATGGCGACTGACTAAGAGGAACTTTCACTGTTCTAGACTAACTAACAAACTAAAGCTGAAGCACAGGAGTCAGCGAGGACATCAACATTCACTGTCAGAAGACCCCCAGCCCATTGCCCAACAGGAGCCCAAATTTATACATTATCTGCTGCAGCAATTTCCAGATCTGAAGATTGAAAATCAGCAAAGCAACACATATCTCTACATCTCTGTTCACTGAGGACGATGGTGCTCCCTGAACACACATTGGTGATAAGACCCCAGACATTCCCACAGGTGTTTCTTGATTGGACAGGAAACCTCACTGCCTGGGTAAAAGGTCAGACTTTAAGGCGGCCCCCCCACCAATCCCACAAGCTCCAAGCTTACACCCCTCGTCTACAAGGGAGGACCTGGCTTGTGGGAGAAGGGAGAGATGCTCGTTTTTTTCGTAAGAACGTGCAGATCTTCTCCAAACAGACCATGAGAAACCAGCATTGCGCAGCAGTGAAACTCAGGGCTTAAGTCAGGCTTAAAAAAATCCCCTAGCCTTCTAATTTTGAGCCTAAGGTAAGAAACCCTACGAGTTAAACAGGTTTCAGCCTGGATTTCAATCGGCACGTGTTTCACAGCAGCCAAGCTGACAGGACGCCAGAACGATAATGTAAACAAAGACTAGCAAGGGGCCAGAAAAACTATCGGGACAAAAAGACCCGAACTGTATGTATCACTGCCAGGGCTGTGGAGTCGGAGTCGGAGACAATTTTGGGTACCTGGAGTCGGAGTCGGCAAAAAGTTAACTGACTCCGACTCCGACTCCTACTAAATTTAAATGGGAATTAAAAAAGTAAGTTGAAATGTCCCAATTCACAAACAGTCATAATGAACTACTTCTCTGCTGTAAGAATAAAGCCCAATGCATGCA